GATACACCAACCAGCGATCTACCCAAGTCATCGAAAGTTCTCAGTTATAATTAACTTCATGCGTGTTAGATAGACGGACCGCGCGAGAGGAGCGGCATCTGCCCAGATACGGACGAGTGCGGAAAACGTGTGTAACCAATAAGTGATGGCAGCTCCTGGAAGCACAAATCGTAATTGGCGGGCGAGGTGTCCGGAAGGCATTAAAAGGTGAGAGTGGGTTAACCGTGACGTCGCGAGGCGGGCGGATTTGTCGACAAAGCCAAAGAATCACATGATGATGCCTGAGGCTGGCTGAATTTGAATATTATAATTATATATTATATTATTATTATTATATAAGGCCCCGGTCCGATAATCTGTACCTGTACTGTACCTAAAGTAATTGACCCAATCCTCAATTAACCAAAAAAACTGCAACGCTCATTAAGCCCACTATCCCCATTATCCCAAACAATGCGCGGGATGCGTCACGGGGAGTAGAATTGGCCTTCACAGATGGTGACTGGCTAGGCGACGCGCTGCCACCCGATGAACTTGCTGCCTGCGGCCGGGGACTAGCAGGCGCAGAGCTCGGGGAAGCCTCAGCTGGCGTAGGCGAGCTGGCGCTGCAGCCGCAGGGCTCGAAGATGCCTCGGAAGCCCCGCTCGACTCAGCCGCAGCGACACCTGGAGAAACACTCCCGGGACTGTGAAGTGCGTTAGATTGAAGGAGCCATATGCTGAACAGTCGCTACCTACGCGGCCGAATTAGGAGAACGGGTTGCCCCATCCTCCTCGACATTACCGTTTATGCAGCTAGGGTCAGGTGAGTTCACCGCAGAGCATCAAGCAAGTGTGTTTATATCAGCGCACCTTGTGTCGCCACCTCCTTGAGCGGTCACGGGCGCGGAGAACGCTTCCTGGCCTTTGCCATCCTTCAAGTCAATCGTGCTTCGGCAGACGCATTAATACATAGCGAGAAAATTCTGCGTCGCTCTGAGTAACGTACAAACTTGTGCCAGCGGGAACGTCAACTGCAGACCAGATGTAGCTAGTCCCATCTTGACGAGGGAACCGCTTGATCTGTGATAAGGAAATGTATGGGTTTCTAAATAAGTGATCGACCAAAGGCACACAAAACGGGCTTACGGCATTCGCCGTGGGCTGCCCCGCTGATCGAAGATTTGGTCAGTGAGTAGAGTAGTTGCAAGACAGTTGGGTGAACGTCGAACCAGGGACAATAGAAAGGTAAAACGGTGACACAGCGCCTTCTGGAGACCAAGTGATCTGCAAGGGCTCTGGACAACAAATGAACACGTAAAATTGGACGGTGAAACAAGTGGGCTACCGCAAACAACCACAGATACCCTAGAGAGAAGAACATAAGCCAGTCCAGTGCGTTAGGTGTGGTAATTCTATTACTTACGGCGTATTGACAGTTAATGCGGAAGCCAGTGTAATGATCGCGCTAAGAACGACAAAGGACTTCATGGCGGGCTAAATATGAAAGAGGTCGTCAAAGGCGTATGGGCTAGGATGTAGACACGATGAAGGAAGAAAGCTAGTTGAAGATAATGAATGCCTTTCTCCTTCACCTTCAACTTAGTCGCTGGTGATAAAGCGGAGTTCGGTGGTCGCCGTTGAGTTGGAATTCAACCGGATGTATAGAGTAATTGCGATGCAGAGATATTGGGCTACGAAGTAGTACATTGCGATAAATACCTTTCTCGTGGATACAGATCAGTACTCAGTCCATGCCTCGTGGAATAAGACAGCAAATAACAAACACACCGACCCTTGGCCCTCTCTAGTCGAGTCCAAGGACCTCCACCACGACGTTGACCGTCATGATCACTACATAAAAACAGATAAGGAATATGCCCCACTTCCGAGGGAGGAAGTAGCCATTCATAGGAACGAATATCATAGTTGTGACGAGGAGTGCAAGAAGCCCCACCACGCTCACGAGCAAGGTATTGGAAAAGTCTAATCTGTAGGGTTCAGCAGTCTGGTGGATGACGTACGAGCCAGAAATGCCGACGCCGAACAAGATATTGAGCATGGGCCCACCGAAGCAAGCGGAGAAACCCATGATAGGGGCGAAGACCTAAGAAACCCTTGAGGATGGAGAATAGTGGGACGATTGGGGATAAACACGCACAGCTACGCTCATATTGGCCACCAAGTCAGCGATGGAGTTTCCTGCGGCGAATATCGTCAAACCAATGATTGCATCCGACAGCCCAAAGATAAACCCGAAGGTCTGTGAGTATGTTAGTCTGAACACCAAAATTACGTGGCCACTCTACTTTACTAACCTGGAGAACATTGACGACCTCGTCCGCAATAGCCATAATCCAAACCATGGCAACAAGAAATCCCATCGAGCAGCGGGCCAGAAGCCACCCTCGGTGATCTCCTTTATTCGCAGAGAATGCCACATATATCCCAGCTGCTAGGCCGGCCAACCCCACCGCGAGGAGGAACCATCGCGCATATGTCGCGCCTTCTGTGTAAGATATTGAATCCTTTCATCCGAAAAATAAATCGAGATGCATCAACTTACTAAAAAATACAGCAACGCAGAAGAGGGGACCTAGAGTACATTGAACTGCCATAAGCCATTTGTTGAACTGAAACCCGGGCATCTTCTCCTGCACCTCGTCCTCAGCAATGAGAATGCGCTCAGTCCCATCCTCCTCAAAGGTGACAAGGGTATCATTGATGCTTTGGGCTTTTTCATGGCGGTAGCGCGCACTGTGGTATGGTTCCACCACAACGGGAAGGGTAATGGTCAACGCGAACACTGCTGGGGTAGCAAGGACAGCCACTGCCTTTCCCAGTAAAGACTTCGTCTGGAATTCATGCAATGTGGGGAAGAGAATGTGGAATGCGCGTGCGAGAACAAGACCAACGCCTTGATGACGTGTCGACGCTATATGAAGTGTGTGGTCGCCGTTTGTGTCCAAACGTGGGGATGCAGGCGTGTGGTAGATCTCGGGAATCTGCGTCTCAACGCCACTGCCGATAAAAATGAGAGGGGCTTCTTCTGAACGAGGATCCAGATCGTCTGAGGGAAGAGAGGGTATAGAGGCCAATGGGGAGCGATCATTCAAAGGAACATCCAATGAAGCATCCCATGCGTTCACGCTTCCGCTGTGGACGGAACCCCGTGAGCGTGACCGCGAGTGTCCATAGCCATGATAATGTCCACCAGGGTATGGTGTTAATGGGGGTTCAAAAGCACTTAGGGAGGAACCGGCAGCTTCTTGTTGTAATGACGAAATCACACTTCGAAATTCAAGGGCTCCAACTAAAGAGAATGATGGCATGGTGGCCGGATGTGGGGATGGTGATGGTGACCTTGAATCGGCTTGCGAGCCCAAGGGGTGTCGACGCGAAGGGTTTGTGTTTATCGGAAATTCGAGGCGCGGCAGCGATGACAAACGTGAACGGGCAGTGTCTGGGGAGGTCAGTAATGTACGATTGGAAGGGGAGTGTGTTGCTATGCACTGGGTAAGACTAGGTCACGGATGCAGCATTGGCGCTCACGGTCGTCTCGGTAGGGCTCATCATCACGATTGGGTGATACACCCTCATCGCCATACTCATTGCGTACTTGTGCCTCCAAAAGGTACTTCTTCTCACGCCTGTGTTCCCACCAGCTGCCCATGACCACGGTGAAGACGTACACAAAGTACAACACAACAAGGAGGGCCGCTTCCCACGCGTATATCCATCCGTCGAGAAGAATGACGAGTAGCACTGCTACAGAAACAGTAAAGAACGTGGTGTCACGTAAGAAAGGGCCTCTATTGACTCTAAACGGTTTGATGATGCACATGGAACCCACGACACAGGATACAATGAAGGAGGCCGCGCCGATGAGTTCTCCTATGGCCAAACTTCCCGCATTTGTACGCAGGGCAGAAAACGTCGCAAAAACGTCGGGGCTGCCGTTGCCAAACGCAAGGAAGGTAACACCCGCGACATTTTCGTCTAGATTGAGAAGCTGGGCAATTGTTGCTAGATTTGGGCAAAAAAAGTCTGAGGCACTGATACCGAGGGTAGAGAACAAGAAGATGAGCCAGAATAGTAGACCGAAAAATATAAACGGCCTGGTGGTGGGAGTGGAGCAAAAATAAGTTTGCAAGTATGGGATGGATAGAAATGTGCTGGATGTAGGACATGAGTTGACCACGACCTTACACTGATCTTCGATAGGGACGATTATAGGTTGGCACTGGGGAATCTTGAGAATGGAGATGAAGATGAATTGTTTGTTTCTGGGGCTACGTACCTCGTCCTCACCTAGACCTTCCCTATGTTGTTCGTTAACGAGCATGCTTCGTTTATAAACATGAGAGTCAAAGGATTGTAGCGCATAGTCTCGAGGTATTTGACCATAATAACTTTGCGACCATAAAACCGCGTTGAGGATCAAAAGTAAGACGAAAACGAATTTAGTTGACTCCATTCGAGACATCGTCGGTAGTTATGGTCATGGGTGTCATGCGTCGAAGGGTCCAATCCATCCAGCCAGCTATATGCACACCCGTGGGAATAATTTCAATTTGCAAAACAACCGCCTTCACCTTTGCCATTGAATGAATTGTGGATCGGATGATTTTATGTCTTCAACGTGTGTCTTCTACTGTCCTTCAGACCTTCCTGCGATCCATACTCTCCAGTGATGGAAATGGGATCCTTTGGTCAGTCTGTTGTCTGTGTCTCTCTGTTTCCGTGTCGCTTTGTCAGCATGATGCAGCAGCCTCTCTACCGATCCCGATCACAGGTTAAATCAAATCTTGCCGCCCGCAAAAAACAAAGTTGCGTTGCAAGCAAACAAAACCGCCACCACCAATTTGTAAACCAGGACAGAACAGAATAAATCAAATCAAAGTATGAAATGTGTGTGTTAATTAATATTAATTCTTGATCGATGGAGGTGATTACACTATCAGTATACGCAGCTTTGTCATCGTGTATATGATATTGTACCAGACCGACAATATAATCGCGCCTTCGATAGCTCAGCTGGAAGAGCGTGGGACTGTAATTGGTGATATTGGCAAAGTTGAATCTCATCCCAAGGTCGCTGGTTCGACCCCGGCTCGAAGGATTCCTTTTTTTCATCGGCCGGAGCGGGATGACTATAACTCTCATTCATCGTGAATGAATGCCATGATGCTGCTACAACAATATACCAACCCTAACTCCAAATCATTTTTACCTCCACTGCCCCGTAAGGGAAAAGTGTCCAGCGAGGTTCCTCTCAGAGTCCAATCCAGCTACTCCTACCGCCGGGATTATGTAGTGACGTCTGCCCAATCTTGACGACGCCGGTCTCTATTTTGGAGACCTCCTCCACTCGCTTCGTCATTTCCTTGAATAATCGATCGCCAGAAACCAGGAAGGGGTTGTCGATCGCATCAATCAATGGACTGGGCGGTACAAACGGTGTCGAAGTCGCTGTCATAAATGAACCGCGGCCATCAACCCTGGGCATGGAGCCCCCCCCGCTCGGCGTCTCCGCAGGAGGCCGCAGGACCGGGAGAAATGATTCAGCATACCACTCATACCAAACCTGGCGCTGGTTCGTTAAGCGCCACATCGAAACCTGGAGCTCAGAATTGCTCGGCAAGTATAATGACTCCTAGCGGCAGTGCCACACTTGAAATTGATACAACATGCAAAAGTGGTGCGATAAGGAGCTTACCTTAAGGGGGAAAAACAGTGGAAACCAACTTAACATATCTTTCGAAATATGGTCCTTCCGGTGCGGGTGGATGCTGAGTCCGATCTCGCCGTATAATATGGCCTCAAAGTAGCCAGCTAGTCCATGAAGCACGCCAGCATGAGGGATGTGGAATGTTAGCTTGGCAGACCGGATGTTATGGCTATTCGTCACCGGTAATCCTGGGATGGGAAGATACGTAAAACTGTCAGTGCGTGTTAGCCACTGATCAGTGCAAAGGCATCGGACCTCGTTCGTCAAGCACTACGTCGCGTCTTGGGTGTTCAAAATCCCAGCACTCCTGGATTTGTGGGCCGCAACGGCCTTCAAAATCGTCTCCTTCACCGCTGAGAATGTTCACTGCCTGAAACATTACGACGTACGGCGTCTCTGGCGCCTTGTCATCCTTTCCCGCGTGAACCTCATTATAAAGCTTGGATGAGGACAATGGGGCTAGGTATGCAGTGTATGAGGAGGGGATTGAAATACCGCTGGCTGGGGAAGGGGGAAGGCCCGTGAATTTGGTCAGCGAGGCGAAGAATTTTTTTTCTTTGAAAAAAGAACCGTGGACTTACGTTTCAAGAAACGCATTGCGCCGTCGAGGCATTCCGGACTGAGCTCATTGTCACCAAAAGACCCCAACAATTCGCTGACAATAATGTCCGCGGGTTCCGGAACTGCGAGGGACCGCATGTCGCCAAATAACAGGTGGACCTTCTCCTTCCATTCGGAGGCCTTCCTTTGCTGCAAACTAAGAGAAAGAGTCACGGGTACTTGATATGGAGACTTTTTTTTTTTGGTAATGTCCTCAGTAAGACTCACGTCACATAGGCGCTGGGGTTCTTTTCAATCGCATAGACAGATGCATTACACTTGACGCGCGAAATCGCGCTGAGGCATCGCCCAACGAGAGGGCCCCGCCCGGCTCCTGCCACGCATATAATTCTGAAATGATGTCAACATTAAACCAATCTGATATTTCCATGTCAACATACTGACATCCTTTCTGACAGAGGCCATTCAGACAGAGCCGCGTATATCGCCTGGAGCAGATATGGGCGATTTATTTAACCGCGGCGTCAAGTCTCCACTTACTTCTTCGTACTTTTGGTATTTCACGGGGTCCTGCTCGAACGTCTGATAAGTGATACCTTGCAAGTTATCCATAAGGGGCTATCGATTCGTGTCAGTCAGTGCATTGTACCATGTGACAGCGCTGGTAGGATGGATTCAACCTGCAGAGGCGCTTGTAGATAGTCCTGATACCCGCGCGCAAAATTCTCCACTGTGCCTGCCGTCTTGGCTTGTATCACCGCAGGGCTGGTTTTATCCAAGTGGCGTACATATTGCAGATAGGCAGCCTCCCCACCTTTGACATGAAGGCCGGCAGTGGTGTCCGACAGGATGACTGCCGGCCGATGCTGAACGCGAGCGAGCCAAGTAAGCACACAAGGAGACGCTGAGGTTGGTCTGCCTGATGCGGTCTAACCTTCAAAATATCGCGGATGAAGGATTGCGCCCCCTTGGGAAGAACGGGGTATCCCTTCGCATTTGCAATGAACGTCGACGCCGGCACAAATAAGTGTTTGATGGGCTCTGCAGCCCAACGATTCAGGACGCCGGACATGGACGGAAGAGGCGGCGTGAGATCCAGGGCTAGAGAGCGAAACTAGTCAGGCACATTTCTGGACCCCGACGCACCCAGGTAAGCACTTAAGGTTAGGCGCGGGTTGTAGGAACAGATAGACCGTATGGCATCCCACATTCCCATGTGATATTTAACTCAGCCTCTGTAGATGTTACAGCCCGGGGTTCCGGTGAACGAATCGGAGTTGATGATGAGGTGGTGGACGATGTTGAGACCAAGGGGGGCGAGCTACCACGCGGGGGCGAGTTGGCTTGAAATATGGACGGATCGTAGATGGGAAGTCGGACGGAAAACTGCATGTAAGGTATCCGTGAAGGCAGGTGTTGATGGCACGACCATAAGCCGCAATTTGGTTGCGGTTGCGAGGGGGTGGGAAGATTGCGGTCTGTATGTCCAAGTACGAGGCGTAGGATAACTCCTGTTGCATAGCCTTAAGGAGGTGACACCACCCAGCAACGGTGAGCCCGGTAACCCCGAGGTTGATGCATAGATAATGGATACCCACGATTTCAGAGTCGTGTCTCACCCAGTTGTCAGACGCATCCAACTCTAACCAGTCAGAGATCATCACAATGACGCCTTCGGCTTGTTCTGGTTTATATGCCCCATCAGTAAGTGTGCAACGATTCGCTCGAAAGTCATACCAAGGCGTGTCATGGTCACCTCGCCCAATTCAAATACAGGATTGGCTCTCCAATTTTCTGCACGCAGTTCTGTGCTTTCGTTCCTTTCGCGGCCAGGTTCCGAAGATATGATGCACATGTCTCTCCATCTATCCTTCCATTTATCAGTGGCGAGTGGTACGCAGACTGCATCATATGTCCTGGATCGTGCATCATCGATGAGTAAGGCATCTTGAGAGTCTAATAGCGAGCGCGTTTCGAGATCGCTGAACGACAGGTAAGCTGCGATAGGTACGGGGTTCTCCCAAGAGGCCATGGGCGCGTTGTACACTCAAAACTGGGTGTGATGTATCTGGGCGTTCGCTGCCGGGTGTAGTGTTGCTGATGCCAACCAATATCAGTAGTACAAATGCCAGGTTCAGGGAAAGGGAAAAGGGACTGATTGCCCACGATCTCCCAGAATCGAAATGATGCCGACTAAAGAAATATTTGTCCGTTATCAACAAGCGATGTTCCACTATCCTAGATCTGACTGATGGGAGGTTGAAAGTGAGGAAAGAAAAAATTGTGGAATAAAAATGGAAAATTTCCACTTCACTCTAACGGTTATTGGCTGCACCACGCAAGTCGCACAAACGCGCAACGGACCTGTTCTATTCGGATTCGGAGATTTGGGGACAGAGCGAGCCTGGCTACGGCTGCCCTCGAAGTGTAGGGGAAGCCCCCCCCCAGTCAAGCTCTACCACCGCATCGCACCGCACCGCAACGCCGCACTAAATGCGTACTATACCCAGTTGTAATTGTAATTCATTGATTTGATTGAATTAATGAGTAACTTCTCAAGATTTACGTCTCAGTTCAGTTCATCTGTCGTGAGACCGGATCCCCCAACGCGGACGGAATGTAACCGCGGACATCAGACCTTGCGGTAACCAAATGCAATTCCCTGTGTGTGCCTGAACGGTCTCATCTCCCAAAGGCCATACTTGTGCTAATCCGCAATCCGCTCTTACCCCGCAGTTCGGAAGTCTAAATAAACTGCGACGACTGCGTGTGCGTTTGCGTTTCGCGTCGTGTTGATTGCGCGCTTGTTCTCTTAACCACATGTTTTGTCTAAAAAATATAATTCTGCGATGGGTCGCACGTATTGAAGATGATGATGACTAGTGGGAGAGGATATACCTATAACTGTCCATCATCGGGTTTGTCTAACCGCCTCCGTTTGGCTGAATCCATTTCTTCGTCTAGGAGATCGTTAGCAGTCATCGTATACCCAGTGACCATGCCTCCAACACGGTACGGCTGACAGCCTGCCTGAGCTCCTCTTCTATGTGGGTTTCATCCCCTACTTCGTCTTCCCTTCGCGCGATATCTCCTAGCTGACTCATGAGTGAGGATGTAAGGTATTCTGATGCAGCTTCTTGCGAGTGCTGTGACGGCTGTACCACCCAATCAGAAGTGAGGTCGTCGTGTTGTCTGCCACGAGACTCAGTGGCACGGGAAGTGGTGACCGAATTCAGGTAAGCGGCAACTTGCGGAAACTCGTCTTGAAGTAAATCTGCCGGCTGATGACGAGTTTCAAAAAGAACGTGGATTGTCGACAAACACTAGGCATACCATCAGCCCTTGGTGATTTCGCCACGTAGGGTCTGCCCCATGATTAAGGAGGAACTGAGCAGTCTCCACGTTCTCCACCGTGTAGAGAGGGGTTTCTCCATCCTCATCTACCACATTAACATTGCCGCCTGCGGCGGTGATGTGATAGATCGAAAGGAGCTGCCATCGACCTTACTTGCCTCTAGAGATGAGATATTCCAAGATATTTAGGTGTCCGTAAGATGCGGCGGCATGCCTTTCGGTCGGAGACAGAGGATGAATGCGAAGAATCCAAGCCAAGGAGGAATAAGCGGATCAGAAGCGCACATGGGTGTGTATGTGAACAAATCCGGTACGTTAGGGGATAGTACTGCACGACGGAATTTTCATGGAGATTAGCGGAGTTGTGGATTGACGTCGGAAAACTTGCATTGGTGCTCAATCAACTCCTGTGATGACCCTTTCAGAATGATCGAAGATAGATAGGAATAAGAGGAAAGAGAGAGAGAGAAACTACT